TTGTTTGGCCCCCCCCCCCCGGCGTGGCAAGCTGCACAGCTGGGCTGCAGCACTGTGAGGACTGCTGGCTACTCTGGGGAGCCAGCATTTTATTTTCAGTAAGATTTGTTTTTCCCTCATGGATTTCATGGACATCACCCAATTTTGCGGACAATGCCAGATATTGTGTTTTGTACAAAATCACGATTTCAGTAGGTGCCTATCCATGAGTTTTCTAAAGTCTGTTTTTTGAAGTCCATTGCTTTTAATGTGCTGCTCTTTCCTTTCCTTAGAATTGTGAACTCATTTAATCACTTACACCAAAATTATATTTCCCCTTCAGATTCTCAATCTGTTACTTTAACTTAGAATCAAATCTATGTGGCCCCACTGTCCCACTGACTAAGTTATCTTAAAGAAGTTGTCCTTGTCATAAACCAAGAATTAGCATTCCAATTTGTGTGCTGCTGCATTTCTTTTCCAATAGATACCTGGGTAGTTAAATCATCTATTATCGCTACATCCTATCCTCTAAATTCTTCTAGTAATTGCTTAAAAAAAGCCTCATCCATCCTCTGGTAGTTGGGCTTGTCCAATAAATTATAATGCTGGGATGCCATTTCAGAAACATGAGGTGAAAAATTAAATATAGATTGTAAAATGAATTCTCTTGGTTGGTTCCTATGATCAGATACCTGAAAAAATGGAGATTTCAAAACAATTTATGTTCCCTGAGAAAGAAGTACCAAAAGACATTTGTTGTTGTTTTTACAAAAATTCCCTAAAAAGTTGTTGTTTTATATTTGTTTAAAAGCATTTAAGGATAGCCATGTTCTTTCTAAATTTAATTTAAAAAGGATATTCTTTGGAATGGCTATTATACGGGTAGGAATGATCAATTTAACTGTGCAAGATCAGTGCATTTGTCTATCAAATTCAGTTTCCTACTTACAGGTTATATGATACCTATGGTTGATCATTTTTTCTTGAAGTGTAAAATTTGATTGCTTTTATTCTGTATTACTACAGATGTTAATAACTTACTAGGTATTTTATAAATTTGAGCATATTTATTTGTCTTTTTTTCACTAGGCCTCAACCAATAATGAAAGCTCTAATCATAGTTTTGGAAGTTTGGGATCTCTAAGTGATAAAGAATCAGAGGTATGTATGCTAAAAAAAAATAAAAAAATGACAACTACAGATTTAACTGTATGTTTTGGTTCAACACTTATTTTAAATATAATGTGCCCTCTGTTTACCATGAAATTAAAAAGTATGTGTAACACTAAAATGTACAATATATTGAGGAACAAAGTAAGGCTTTATCAAAGTTATTGTTGTCTTTGAGGTTCCGTTGGTTGCTTGCTTTATCATTAAAGGCTAACTGCATTGTTTTAGCTTAGATCTGTTACAAAAACAAGGGGGTGATAGGTAGGAAGGGGAGGAAAAAGGCACAGAGAGGTCTTTAAGCTACCCTTTTGCCTTACTGATTCTGGTCTGCTTTGGGCAAAAGAAGCTCCAGTTTTATTTAGGGGGCAGGGGAAGATGGAAGGGTTCTGTCTGAGTTCCTTTATCTTCTGTAGGATTTCCAAACTCCATAACTCTCTGTGCTTTGTCCTGCTCCTGACTCAGTCTTCTGCTCCTGGCATGCCTCCATGCCAGGAAAACAGGGGGTCTTTCACTCCCTTTATGCTACTTCATCTCTTTTCCCTGGTATATAGTCAAAATTACACAGACTTCACAGATGAGAGATGAAGGAGCAAGTTGTAAGTATTCAAACTGGAAACAACTTGTATTTTTTTCAAGATATGAAGTGGAGATCCATTTTCAATTTGAGTAGCCATTTTATTTGTGATTTCAAACATAAGGTCTTTCTACTGCTAGCTTATCAGCCAGATAACAATGACAAACCAATTTTCAAAGTTATTCCAGCATTGTTAGTCTGGCTGCCATCCTTTTCTGACCTTATCAGTCTTGGCTTTGCCTCAGATGTATGTGAATATATTGTAACTCTGAGGATTTGCAGACTTCTGACAGTATGAGCAGCAGTGGTTCAGTCAATTGCCGTTAGTAGCAAGAGACTGAAAAAGCACTGGAAAGGACATAGTTATGCCAAATGCTATTTAAATACCTAACCTTCTACTGGTTCTCATTTTTGTGCAGCTGTATGCATGTGTTCACACACTCTTGAAAAGTATAGTTGAGGGCTCTGACTCATCAGGCTTTCCCTCCCCCAGAGAGAATCCGCAGGCAGCACAAAAGTATAGTACAAGTAATAGGAATGTCTCCTATATTAAGTTCTCACTGGTTAAGCCTTAATGGATCTTTCTTGTATCAGGCACCCCAGTGAGTAATTCATCTGAATGTTTATGGGTGCCCATTCAAATCTAGATCTGAATACAGGGAACAAACTAGATCTTCACCTAAGAGTAGAGGCTCCTTCATCTGTCACCTTCTTGGAGTCCTAGGAATCTAACAAGGGAAGTAGAGAAATCTCTAAGGAATAAAACAGACAGTTACAGAGTAGGCCTGGAATTTCTGTTCTGATCATTCCAAATGTTTCTCTTCTAAAACCTAGAACTCTTCAGCTTTAATACTTGGTGTGTGTGTTTGGTGTTTGCTGTGTCTGTAACAGGAAAGGATCTGACCATGTTTCAGCAAATGGATATATAAAATTATTTGGGTCTTTCCTAATATTGTCGTATTAGATATTAGGCCTGGTTCAAGGTACTTAATATTCAAGGTAGATAAATCAAGGTTTTATCTTGGTCTTCAACTTCCTTTTGGCGTAAGGCCTCTTGATAAACCTCTTGAAAGCAATGTCTGAACAGCAAGTCTAAAGCAACTGAGCATAAACCTGCTCATAGGCAATTCCTGGAGTAGGAGGTTAGCTCTATCTATTTCATCTTCCATCTACCCCATAGCAGGGGCTGACAACATTTTACAGTGAGGGGGCCTCATTAACAGAGCTTAACTCTTAGCATGAGCTGTTTCCAGCCTAACCTTTGCAGCCACAGCCAGTCTCCACTCCACCCCACAATGCTGCCAGCATTTCTCCCCGCTGAGCAAGTGAAGCCCTCCCCTGCAGATACCATTAGAGCCCACACTACCAGAATGCTGCAGAAGCCCACAAGCACCTTGGGCCAGATCTGGCCTGCAAGCTGTAGGTTACCACGCCCTGTGCATATAGGATTTTCTCATGTAGATTACCATTGAAGTCATCCTTGTTATGCCAGGATGGTTTCTGAAGTGTTATTAATTATGAAGGCCTCTCTTTGAGAAACTTCTGGTAGTGACTACATTTGTTTAGGTGTAGGAAGGCATAGTGTTGTCCCACAGGTTCAACAAAGAAAAGTTTGAGGGAGGAGACTATAGCAATACAGACCAAAACAGTTTTAACCTTGCTTGTTACTTTCCCATTCATAGAACTATCCAAAGTTGAACTGTATTTCTTAAGGCTAACTCTTTGTCCCCTCATGGTTTTTTTACTCTATCCACAAGTCTGTTTCTTCAGACTTCCTATCAGAAAATTGCAGTTACCAAGATTTTCATTCAGAGTCTCTGTTTCATAGGTCTCTGCCACAGGTTACGCTTGAGACCTGATTAACCAGTTAATCACGTCTTAAGATACGACCTGGCCACACGTTAAAGCAATTATTTGCATCATAAAACATGGAATACACCATAAAGTTATTCTGTAAAAAATGTGTAATAACTTGGCTGTTGGTTCGTATGATGCCATTAATTGAATGTTTGGCCAGGTGAACCCCTGTGGCTGGGAGGCCCATCAGTTGAGAAGGCTCCGAGCAACTGGAGCTTGCTACTTGCTGGTGCAGGGGAGCCTGGGATCATGATCCTGGTTCCCTGCTCGGACAGTAAGTTATGATGAGATCTGATGCTTGATCCTACAGTCATGCCTACTGCCATGCACATGTGGCATGGCAAAAAGCACAGTTGTGAATATCGTGCATCAGATCCCATTGCACCTTTACCTGCATGCCTGGCAGGGGCCATAGTTTTGGCACCTAAATGAGTTTCACAATTCTAAATGAGTTCAGACTTGATTAGACTAATAATTTGCCGTAATTATAGCCATCAGTAGCAAGCCACTGTTGTAACTGCACTGGCAGGACCCTTTATTTGGACAAAGCTTGAAAAAAGCTTTGCTTTATTTGCAAAAAGCTTTGCCTGTCTACACCAGGATTGCATTGATGTGCATGCCTAAACATAGGTGTCCTGAATTCTTAAAACTGGAATGATATTTTGCATAAGAGAGCTGGACCTGAATTGTTTTTGCATGCTGTGGTAAGTAAAAATTATTACTGGTCAGACAGAGGTTCTTAAATTTTCAGAGGAACTTCTTCATGTCAAAGTGGCTTAAACCTTAAGGAACCTATGTTTCTGTAGTTAGCAAAGTAAAGAGCTCAGATCTTCAAGAGCTGATGAGGCTTATTTCTGTATCCTTGTGAATGTACATCTAGTGCAAGACAGGACTTTCATCTTTTCTGTTACAAACTTAGTATATTACAAACAGCTTGGAGAACCTAAACTGAATATCCTTTGTTTACACTACTCCATAGGTTTGTTTCCTGTTTTTCTGCTTTTGAGTAACGTGGCTATCTAGAGAAGTTGTGTTTTGGTGGTTTTAGGATGGAAATGTCTTCTTTTGACATTTTCTTGGCTAGAAGGGTGCAACTGCTTGACTTTCCTTTCTGATGGTTCTCTACAAGAATAATACCGACTTGTTCAATTTTTTGCTTTAGGTCCTTAAGGAATCCATTTAAGAGAAAAGCCTTAATCCTTGGACTTTTTAGTCTGCATTTTTGGGCACAAATAGAAAGATGCAACTTTTGTTTTGTTTTAATTTAAGCTAGCTAAAATGAGAAGGTGTTATAGCTATAGGTCTGATCTTTTCTGATTTTGATTGAATTCCATAAGACAAAAATAATAATTTCTAGAGTTCTGCTAATCAAATATTTGTTTTAGTAAAAATGGACGTGAAAACTGATTCTTTGATATTGAAAATTGATACTTTGTTTAAACAACATGGAGATTGCTCTCAAGCATCAGCAATTTTCAGATGACATTTTGCTCAGCTTCCAAATACACAAGTTTTTTCACTCAGTAGCATCAGTTTAATTTAAGGCCTGAAAGTCCAGCTCTGTTCTTTCTGGCTTGTACATAATAAGGGACTTTTCAAGATTCTGTCTGTAACGGGTTGTGCAGGTTTGATTTCAAGTCTAATGCAAGGCTAAATCGGAACTTTACAGCTCTGATCTTCAAGATAAAATGGAATTCAGCTGATCACCTCATATTTGTATTTATTCTTCAGTGCTTAGAAAGGAATAAGTGATTATGATGCAGTTGGCAGAAGGAAACATGCAGATGCATCTCTGAATGGGATTAGATGTACTGTGTATGATGGTTGTGTTTTGAAATAATCTTATAACCATAACTTTTTACTTTGGACAGTGCTGCAGTAGTGTAGTTGGAAGCTAGCAGTTGCATTGGAAATGTGCAGCTAACGACTGGAAATTTATGTTATAGTATTGCAATTCTATGAAAGAAAAATATAGTAACATACTAGAAGTTACCAGGAATGGTGCTCAGTGGGTGTATCTACACAAGACACTGACTGTGCAGTAGCTTGATACTACTGCGCAGTAGTATCACATGGTGAAAAAACATGATGCAGCGCTACTGCACAGTAGTATTAGGCTACTGCACAGTAGCATCATAAAAAAGGTGTTCACCAGTAATACTGCATAAACAGTTTATGAAAGTACTAAATAAATGTACAGTAACCACTGCACGGTAGTCTCATGTAGACGTGGCCACTGTCTAGCATTTCTATATTCCATCACCTTGGAGTATTTGAGGACCTCATGCTACTGTAATTATCCTCATAACATACTTGTTAGATGGAGAAGTTGGTTATTCCCATTTTGCAGTTAGGAAACTGAGACACTGTCAGTTACTAGGGTCACACAAAATAATCTGGGATTTAAACCCAGATATTCAGAGTAAAAGTTCAGTATATTAACTATACAACTATACTTCCTAAATTGGAGTAATTTCTGTTTTTAATACATTTGAGTACTGGATTTAAGAGTATATACATGTATTGTAAAAAAAAAAACAAACCAAAAAACCCCCCAAAA